AGAAAAAAATGCAGGCAACAAAATTTCGGACATCATGCACAGCAGAATTTTCACTGATACATCACCTAAGGCAACAGAAACAAAGAAAAAAATGAACACATGGGACTACATCAAACTCAAAAGCTTCTGCACAGCAAAAAAAAACAATCATCAAAATGGAAAGGCAACCCACTGTATGGGAGAACATCATTGCCAATGATACATCAGATAAGGGGTTAATTTCCAAAATATATAGAGTACTCATACAACTCAACAAAAGGAAGAAAAAGAACTCAATTAAAAAATGGGCAGAGGAGCTGAATAGACACCTCTCCAAAAAAGGACATACAAATGGCCAAGAGACAGATGAAGAAATGCTCAACATCACTAATCATCAGAGAGATGCAAACTAAAACAACAATGAGGTATCACCTCACACCTGTCAGAATGGCTGCCATCAACAAATCATCAAACAACAAGTGTTGGCGAGGGTGTGGAGAAAAGGGGACTCTAGTACACTGCTGGTGGGAATGCAGACTGGTGCAGCCACTATGGAAAACACTATGGTGTTACCTCAAAAAATTAAAAATTGAACTTCCATTTGACCCAGTGATCCCGCTTCTAGGAATATACCCTAAGAAGCCTGAAACACCAATCAGGAAGAATATATGTACCCCCATGTTCATAGCAGCACTGTTTACAATAGCTAAGATCTGGAAACAGCCCAAGTATCCATCAGTAGACTAATGGATAAAAAAGCAGTGGTACATATACACAATGGAGCACTATGCAGCTGTAAGAAAGAAAGATCTCTTATCCTTTGAGATGACATGGAGGGATCTGGAAAGTATTATCCTAAGTGAAATAAGCCAAGCAGAAAAAGACAAATACCACATGATTTTACTTATATACGGAATATAATGAACATAACAGTCTGAGGAATACGGTAGACCCAGAAACGTGGAAGTAGGGCACAGATTGACATCCCTCAGAAGAGGGGGTGGGGGTTGGGAAGAGATAAACCACAGAACTTATATGCATGTATGCATGACCAATGGACATAGACAACAAAGCTGGGGACGGGGCGGGGAGGATCGAGAGGGGGGTGCCAATGGGGTAAAAAAGGAGAAACATCTGTAACAACAACAAAAAAAGAAGATGGCAGGAAGTTAAAAAAAAAAAAAGAAATAATTAGAGTGTTTTTAGGTTATTCACATTTCTATTTCTTTGGGATCAATTAGTAGGAAATTATTGTGTTCCTTTGGTGGTATCATGTTTTGATGTCCTTTGTCTACTAATTCTATTATCTATACCAGTTCTGGGTCAGTTTCAATGGATTAATTTTCTCTTTATTATGAATTATATTTTCCTGCTTCTTTGCATGCCCAGTAATTTTTTTTATTGAATGCCACATATTGTGGATTACACATTGTTGGGGGTCAGATACTGTATACCTATAAATATTCTTCACATTGTTCTCTGAGTCAGGTCTGTTACTCGCAAATAGTTGATCCTTTTGGGTCTTGCTTTAAAGATTTGTTAGGCAGGGTTAGAGCAGCATTTAGGGCAGATTTCTCCCCACAATTGAGGCAATACCCTTCTAAATATACTACCTTATATCCCACGAATTAGGACATTTTCTACTGTTGTTGATTGGAATAAGCACATTGCCTATCTCTATGTGAATCCCAGGACTGTTCTCTTTAATCCTTTCAGATAATCCTTTCCTCATCTAGTTTCTTCACATGCATGAGTTGATCAGTTTTCAGCTGAATATTCAGAGTTTATCTGCAAATCTCCAGAATTCTCTCTGTGCAGTTGTCTCCTCTCCAATGTGTTTCCCTGTGAACTCCAAGTGCCTTGGGCTCCATGGTCTCCCAGGTCCTTCTCCTCTATTTGAGGATACTTCTTGCCTCTGCCTTGATACCCCTCCCTGCACCATAGGCCAGAAATTTTCTTCCAGCAGTAAGCTGCAGTACTTTTGCTTATTTATTGTCTCTTTGGGAACTTTTTGCTTTGCTGCCTAATAGTCCATGGGTATAGAACCAGTGTTTCATATATTTTGTCCTATTTATAGTTATTTGAAATGGGAGAATAAATCCAATCTGGAAGTGAAAGTTCAATCTGCCTGGATTCTTTTAACACAGATCATATACATTAGAGTCCCTTTGAAAATAAAATTATTACCAAATGTATTATATTTTTTATAGTTTTCTAGTAGTAGGCCAAGAGTATATCAGTTACCTATTTTGTGTATATGTATGTTTCCAGGGATATGTATATAAATCTGCTAGAAACTGAGTATGTGAATCAATACTTTATACAACAGAGGCACTACTTCCATTAGAAACAAACATCTAACATTCTCATAGTCACTGTACTCTTACCATCTTGCGTGGAATTAAATTTGGCATCCTCATACTCACTTTACCTGTTTTCAGTTTCTTCTCTTACTACATAGTAGTTCACATTCCCTAGATTTAGGGATCCCTTAATGGCTAATTTTGGTACATATCCCAGATATTGCCTTAACCTCTCCATTCCCCCCTCCAGGTAGACTTGCCTGTACCAGGCCCCATTTTTTTCATTTTCTTTTATTATCTATAAACATGAGGACAAGTGAAGACTAGTGAAGTTGTCAATAATCTATAATAATATCTATGATTTACTGAGCATCTACCACGTGCTAGATGCCCTATATATTTTTTGTAATTCTATTAAAACAACTAACCATAAGGGAGGCCGTACAGACTCAGAGAAGGCTTTGCAGAAAGGGTGCTTTCTCAGTTAAGTCCTGAAGGATGAGTAGGAGTTAGGTGAGAGGAGGCATGGAGTGGTGGATCAGGCAGATGTTCCAGATGGAGGGAATGGCATAGGAAAAGGCTTAGAGGGAAGAGAGTGTGACTAATTTGAGGAACTCAGTTCACTTAGGCTGAGGAACATAGAAAGTGGAGAAAGGGTGGAGAAGTTAGGGGGAGAGGTTGGAACTGGCGAAAAATGGAATTAGCGATATGAAGGACTTTATAAATTTTACTAAGAAGTTTGGACTTTTTTCTGAGTATGAGGGAAAATTCTCATTGAACTCTAGTCATATTATAGTGAGGCAAATAGATTGAAAGGGGGTAAACTTGAGTTGTAGCTATGGAAATGGATAAAAGTGATTTTAAAAATTCAACAATTACAACTGGCCAGGTTGGGTCAGCAGTTAAAACATCAGCCTGCGGACCAAGGAGTCTCGGGTTTGATTCCAGTCAAGGGCATGTACCTACCTTGGTTGTGGTTCGGTCCCGGCCCTGGTTGGGGTCATGTGGGCGAAAACCAATTGATATTTCTCTCTCATGTCAATGTTTCTCTCTCTCTCTCTCCTTCCCTTCTTTTCACTCTATCTGAAGATAAATGGAAAAGTATCCTTGGGTGAAAATTAAAATTCACTTATTCATGCACTCCCTTAGCCATTTATGCATTCAACAAATATGGCTGCCTACTATATACTAGGCACTGTGGCTAAATATTTGTTAAGTAAATAGATGTTGAATTATTATAAATTAGTTATCAGTTATTGAACACTTAGTATATGCCAGACACAGTGTTAGGTGTTCTCCATAAACAAATAAAAGAAGGAACTGAAGTAAGGAGAGCTCAAGCATGCCAATGTCATATAGCTAGTAAATGGTAGAGCCAGGATTTTATATCAGATCAGTTGATATTGTGTCAGATTTGGTCATTTACTTAAATGACTTTTATTTCACATAAATTTTATGAACTTCCCTCTTAGGACTGCTTTTGCTGTGTCCCATAGATTTGGGGTGGTTGTATCTTTTGATTTCTTCCTTGATCTCATTGTTAACCCATTCTTGTTTAGTATCATGTTCTTTAACTGCCATGTGTTTATGTGTTTTTCAGTTTTTTTCTTGTAATTTATTTCTATTGTGGTTAGAGAATATGCTTGATGTGATTTCAGTCTTCTTAAATTTATTGAGACTTGTTTTGTGCCCTAACATGTGGTCTATACTGGAAAATGTTCCATGTGACCTTGAGAAGAATGTATATTCTGCTGCTTTGGGGTGAAATGCTCTGAAGAAATTAATTAAATCCATCAGATCTAGTGTATCGTTTAAGGCTGTTGATTCCTTGTTAATTTTCTGTCTGGAAGCTCTATCCATTGATGCCAGTGGGGTGTTAAAATCCCCTACCATCACTGTATTATTGTCAATCTCTCCCTTTATGTCCATCAAGATTTGCTTTATATATTTAGGTGCTCCTGTGTTAAGTGCAGAAATATTTACAAGGGTTATATCCTCTTGGACTGACCCCTTTATGATTATGCAATGTCCTTCTTTGTCTCTTATTATAGCTTTTGTTTTAAAGTCTATTTTGTCTGATATGAGTATTGCTACCCCAGCTTTTTTCATTAACATTTGCATGAAATATTTTTTTCCATCCTTTTACTTTCAGTTCATGTCACATGTAAACTTTACTTATTATTATTTTAAACACAAAGAGAAAACAAAATATATTGAACTAATGTTTTTTGTTTTAGTCAGAAATGTATATGCCAATTGTCCTGGATTTCCATTAAAAAGTTGCCTTTACTTTGTAGATAAGCAATAATTTTATTTATGTCTAAATGAGTGCTTTGGTAAAATTTGGGGCACTCAAGTCCCAAGGAAATTTTCATTCCCATGTTTTTCTTAGATGAAGTTAAGGTTTTCTCCCCCTCTTTCTGTGTATATCCTTTGGAATATTAATAAATATTAATAAAGGATGTATTTAAAAGGGTAATTTTATTTTGAAACAGGAGAAAGAAATATTTATGCTGCCATAATGTCAGAGTTTCCAGAGGAAGGTGTTGTGAAATTATTTATCTAAACATATTTTATTTGGGGTTCAGTATGAATTTTCAATAGATGTTTTTCAGATAAGGAAGCAGTAATTTAAACGCAGTTATATAAACAAGAAGATCAGAGAGGAATTATCCCAAAGAGTATAAAATGAACCAAGAGATTTTAGTCTGAGTCATTACAGCATCAGCTCACCAATGCAAAGTAAGGTAGGTGTATACACTGAGCAGGCTTTGCAAAATGAAATGTTCTTTTTCTTTTTTCACTTTCACCATTTTAGCATTGATTAAAAAATGGCAAACACTAAGTGATAGTTTGCTTGGATCAACTCTAAGAATTGTAATCATTGCTCCAGAACTCTTCAATGCTGGGTGAATTTCGTGAACTACATAGATAAGGATAACAAAAAATTGCATTAACTTGAAGAGGAACAACTGGTTAATTCCCTGACTGATGTTCATGGCTTTTCTTATTTACATTTCAATTTAAATATTTTTGTTAATTGAGTAATCTGTTTGTTAAATTATGTCAATTACTAATTGTTATCTTTGATGATAATATACCTCTGGGAAAACTTAAATTCAATTTTGAGTACCTGCGGGGGTAATTTACTTTCTCATTTTAGTTATTTAATAGCTAAACCTTGGATAGTGTCCAGGGCACACACTGCTTTATAGTACATTTTATTCTCTAGAAAAATGTGTTGCTTTAGTAAAGTTCCTAGATTGTTGATAGGGTGGGCAATTGATTCTTTTCATAGTGTAGTAAGGGATTTGGAGAGAAAAGATTGGTGAAGGAAATTAGCAGAGCAGAGAGAAATGTGCTTATTGAGAAGGAAGGTAGGGAGAGAACAGAAAAGGAAAGAAAAAGTGGAGTAAGAAGCAGAAGAAAGAAGATATCTTAGAATAAGGATAAACATTGGCAGTGTAGACATATATGGTTATGCCACTGAAAAAAGCATCGCTTATTATCTAGGGCCTGAAATCATGCCTTCTATGTGTAGCTGCTCAGTAAAAGTTATGATGATGTTAAAAGAGACAATTAGGTTGCCAAGATGAGAATTCAGGTGATAAAAACAGAAACTGTGGCAGATCATATAGGGTGGTATTAACTAACACTGATTCATATAGTGATACGTATGTACATTTATGTACATTATATATATTATGTACATTATATAGTCTTCTGTAGCATTCCAAGTTCATCACATGCATTGTTTTATTCTTTTTTTATGAGTTTAGGATGGATCATATGGAAAAATGAGGGCACAAAGATATTAAATTGCTCAGTTACACGCATTGCAATGATATTTGGAAGCAGAAGTCTAGGTCACTAACAATTAGACCAGGAGTCTGGCACTAATTTATCATATAGAATCACTGTTTATGCTGAAAAGAACTTCCTGATCATCTTCTGGTTCTAAGCTTTCCTTTTCTAGATAAAGAAATTGAGGCTTAGAAAGATTTTGTGGGTCGAGTTTTACTATTTGAAAGAATAATTTTTATTTTCTTTACATCCACAAAGTTATACAGCTACTTTGCTGAAAGTGCAGTACTTGTACATTTCCCTTTTGTTAGTTTAGAATTTTACATTAAGAGGAACTTTGAAAAAAGTATAGTGTTCATAATGAATATGAGCTTGGGTAAAAGTTCCAAAATAGTTTTTGTTTATCCTATAATTTATAAAAGGGCTGGGTGTACTTGTCTTTTTCTGTTTTCCAATTGGAGAGATAAGGCCCAGGCAGATTAAATATTTTAGTCAATTTCTCATAGATCCATGGGAGATCTTAAAATACAATTGTGTTCCTTAATCCAGAACTGATATTTTCACCACTAGGTTACCATACATCTATTTTACATAGAATCGTAGAGCTAAAAGTTAAAAAACATGCAGTTAATGATTTCCTATGGCAAAAATTCAGTAGCTGTCTGGTTAGACAGGCAAGAACATATGATCATGACAGTTGAGTATTTTATGTGATTTACTCAGTTAATATTTGTAAGATTCTGCAGAGAATCCTTCAAACCTGTGGCTCTAATTAAGAGAACCAATTCTATATTGGAGGGAGCTCACATTTGTGAAGCACTCGAGAAAACCAGATTCCATGAGCAACAGGTTTTTATATTTTCCATCCCTAGTTGAAATACCAACAAACTTCCAAGGAATGCTTGAATGTGCGGCATTTTATTTAAAAGAGTTTGCTAGAAAACCCTTCTTAATGGGTTAGTTTACTTCCTTGTCTATACAGAAGAAATCTTTGATACTTGTGGGTTTCAGAGTCATAATGTAGATTCTTTCAGAGCACTTAGAACACTATGTTTGTTGTTTTGTAATCCTCACCCGAGGATACTGTCTTTCTATTTATCTTCAGACAGAGTCGGGGGAGGGGGGAAGAGATTGATGTGAGAGAGACACATCAATTGATTGCCTCCTGCAAAACCCTGGACCAAGGCTGGGGACTGAACTGCAACCAAAGCATGTGCCCTTGACCAGAATCAAACCTGCGACTCTGGTCTGTGAGCCAATGCTCCAACCACTAAGCCAAACCAGCCAGGGCTGTATTTTTATTATTAGTGTTCATACTTACCTCCTCCATTAGACTGTCAGCACTTGAGGTCAAGGACCATAGCTTATGCCTTTTGTATTTCTCAGTGCCTGGTTCAAATGCTCAATATATATTTATCTAAGTTTCTAAGTTATCTGAAATTCTCATTCTGGGAATAGGAGACTGGTTAGAATGACCACTAATATCTGGAAGCTGACATTTATAATATATCTCTGGTAGCTTGTTGAATACGGTTTCAATTTTTTTCTTAAAAGCTAATTGAAGACATCCAGTGTGGCTTAGTGGTTGAGCTTCGACCCATGCATCAAGAGTTCGCCAGTTTGATTACCAGTCAGGACACATGCCCAGGTTGTGGGCCTGATCCTCAATGGGGGGCATGCAGGAGGCGGCCAATAGATGTTCTCTCTCATCGATGTTTCTGTCTCTCTCTCTCTCTCCCTTCCTCTCTCTTTAAAATCAACAAAGGAAAAAAAAATAGAAAAGAAAAAGTTAGTTGAAGACAAAATTCTGGTTAACTGAAACTGAATTTCTGAGATTTCAGTTAATGGAAGGTTTAGTGTATGCAACTTAAAGAGACTATTGGGATATAATGGACACGTTTGAGAAAATCTTGATACATTTTTGATGATTAAATAAAAATGTTTAGTGAATTATACCTTATCTAAAAGGTAAAAGGAAAAGCAAAGTTTGTGTTTAAAGATAACGCTACTTCATTAAGATGTATATTTTCTTTTCTCACAATACTTGAGAAGGGAAAAAAAAACCCAAATATACCTAGGTAACTGTACCATATTTGTAAGGTAAAACAATATTCTCAACCTTTGAAGTGATCAATTTAACATTCAAAAGTCTGGATTACCCGCTCTCACTAACAGAACTGAAATAATTGTGTCAACATTATCCAGCTCATTATGATGCCAACTGATGTTGAGCACTCTTCCAGCAGACAGGTTTTCTTGAGATGCACATTCTCTTTCTGCCTGAGGAGACCCTTTGCTGTCTTCCATGCAGCCAAACATATTTTACTTCCTGGCTAACCCACAATGGATCTGCTGTCCTTGATTGTATTAGTTCATGTGTCAACCTATATTTTTTGCACCTGAAATCTTCTTTTTAATCCTCACCTGAAGACATGTTTCCATTTATTTTGAGAGAGAGAGGGAGGGAGAGAAAGAGAAAGAAACATTGATGTGAGAGAGAAACATTCATCAGTTTCTTCCTTTACCAGGATCAAACCTGCACCGTAGGTTTGTGCCCTAAGAATTGAACTCTCAAACTTTTGGTGTATGGGACAATGCTCCAACCAACTGAGCCATCTGGCCAGGGCTGCATCTGTAATCTTTTTAAGAGAATGAATTTCATACATCTCTTGAGCAACATAATTTTTTATTTGTCCAAGTCTACTTTCAACCTTAGAGGAACATCCTAAGGATGGAGAAGCAGAGTATTTAGATTCTGGGTTAGCTCTTTAACAGCAGTGGTAATTTTACTTAATCTTGTCTGGACTTTCTGTAGTCTCATCTTGTCTTTCTTGACAGGCAATCGATAAAATTATATACAAGATTGCTTGCACTGAGATGGTACTCATGTCTGATTATGCATTTTCTTGGTTTCTTTGCCCTTTCTGATTATGACCCATTTGTTGGCCTTATTTTATTTTATCCTCACCCAAGGATATTTTTTCCCCTCATTTATCTTCAGGTAGAGTGGGAGGGGGGGAGAGAAAAAGAGAGAGGGAGGAAAGGGGAGAGAGAGAGAGAGAGAGAGAGAGAGAGAGAGAAACATTGATGTGCGAGAAATCGACTAGCTGCCTCCCGCACGACCCCCACCAGGGCCGGGGATGAATCACAACCGAGGTACGTGCCCTTGACTGGAATCAAACCTGTGACTCTTTGGTTTGCGTGCTGATGCTCTAATCACTGAGCCAAACTGGCTAGGACCATTTGTTGACCTTTTAACCAAAACTTTTTGAAAACTGCAGTTCTGGGAAAGCCCTTACTGAAGCCTAACTGTTAATTCACTTCTTCTAATCATCCAGGCAGGTATTTGGATTAGTTTCCATTGAATGAATTGTTTTACACTTAGTTGGTGTGTGTCTCTCTGCCATTTTTCTGCCATAGTGGTGTTTCAGGTGTGCCATTTCACTGCCCAGTGGAGCTAAGCAGCACTTGCAAACAGGACCTTCACTATATGATCTCATACATCGTGTGGTATGTGGATCACAGCCACATCTAAGTGTATACAGAAAAGTTATTGAGAGTATTAGCTATGTAAAAACATTTAACATAGGGTCTAGGACAAAGTAGGCATTGTGTTAAAAAATATATATATATATATTTTAGCTCTTTCCAAATGTCCCTTCTGAATGTCCTAAAGATACAGCTAATAGATTCTTTAATTTTATCTTTGATTTAGCATGACTGCTATCTTCCTGGTGTCCATGCTTTTTGGCCTTGCTTGTGGACAAGCAACATCTTTTTGTATTCCAACTGAGTATATGATGCATGTCGAAAGGAAAGAATGTGATTATTGCCTAACCATCAACACTACCATCTGTGCTGGATATTGTATGACACGGGTATGTAGTTTATCTCACTTCTTTGAGCTGTACATTAGGTAAACCTGGACTTAGTCCATTTCTATGCAGAAAGGAAATGCGATAAAGCACAACCTCATTTTCTAAATCTAATGGTCATTGGCTCCTTAGAGGTCGAATGCACAGGTTTCAATATTATATGTATGTACTCAGCACAACAGGTACAAGCAATTTTATAACAGTTTACTTCAAAACTTTATTTAAATCTTATTGTGTTCCCATGATCAAAGATTAAAGGGGGTGTGTGCCACAATTGTCTCTGTGGGATACAGTGAGGATGTGCTGAGGATGTGTACTGGGGAATGGGACTAAGGAGTGCTCCCCCAGTCCTATTTGTAACCGAGGAATATAAGTGAATTAGTTTGTGTTTATATTATCTACAAGTATCCTAAAGTCCTAGTATACTGATCCTTTTTCTGTTCTCTCCTCAGGATATCAATGGCAAGCTGTTTCTTCCCAAATATGCTCTGTCCCAGGATATTTGTACATATAGAGACTTCACGTATAAGACTGTAGAAATACCAGGATGCCCACGCCATGTTAGTCCTTATTTCTCCTATCCTATAGCTGTAAGCTGTAAGTGTGGCAAGTGCAATACTGACTATAGTGACTGTATACATGAGGTCATCAAGACAAACTATTGTACCAAACCTCAGCAGTCCTACATGGTGGGATTTTCTATCTAACTTCAATAGCAATGTAATTTGCAATTCAGTTCAATGTGTTTGCTTGGAATAAAACTCATACTATATCAATATATTTCACAACACACTGTGTACATTTTGAGTATTGTTTTATCCATACCTATAACCATGCGTGCATCAGAGACCTTGTGGGTGTTAGAAGAAAAGGTGACTGAGCTCATGTGAAGGATGGTTTCCACATGGAAGGGCAGAGCAGAGGTAAAATGGAGAACAGGGACATGAAATACTAACGCAAGTCAGTCTTGAGCAAGCTCTTTTAACAGTAAGTCACAAATTTTGTCTTGACATAGAAAATGAATGTTGGAATGCGACAGAGTTATAAGGAAAGGGTAATGTGATTAGAGGCTGAAGGAACATGTGGCATTAGGGTACCAGTTAGGTTTAAACATTAGACTCTTAACTCATTAATCACATATCTGTATTTGATATACAGTTATCAGAGGGGATGTTATAACCCGGCAGCTTTAAGCGTCCATGTTATCAAGTGACATGAGAACCCAAAGCCCCAGATTAGTATTTGGAAACCATGTTAATATCAACTTCCAAAGGCCTGGAGTGGAGGTGGACAGTGAGGAGTATGGGAAAGCTGCAATATAGTACGTTATCCCACTCATCCAAATGCACAAGGTAAAACTTACCCAAACTCATTAAACAGTGCATTCTATTTGAAGAACTATTCTCTTTCATTTAATTTAATTACTCTGGTGGGCTAACTGACTTATGAGAGTTATACCCCCAAAGCCTAGAAAAGAGGCCACGATCATTTTACATGTGAACGTCTAAATCCTTTGTAGTCTTTCAAGTAATAAGAGACAGTTTCCAACATTTATACCAAAAGCAACTTGTGCTGTTTTGGCTTTTGATTTCATGAAAACCTAATATGGTTAAGAAAGATTTTAGAGACTGGGGGAGAGTGCTAAGGGATTTAATAGAGTAGAATCGTCCTAAATTCTACTGTCTGTTTTCCTTTTCCTTCCGTAGGTACTCTTTCACGAGGGTTTGGTTTCAGTTAGATGCGTGAAGTGAGGCTGACCTAGTGCCCTGCAGACCTGACCCCCAAAATATGATTTATCCTGTATTTGTCCATTTCTCTCCATCCAAACTGCTATGATCAGGGTTACAATCAACTGTTAGCAGGGCCAGTTGGCTTTGCTGAACCCCACAGTCACTGGTTGCATCCAGCTGGGTATCTTGCAAATGCCCGCCTGCTGACAGAGTGGGGATGGTGACAGGGTGTGGCTGGCTAGCACTGAGCCCATGCTCTTCCAGTGGGGAAGGAATAGTGGTATACTTATATACAAAGTCAGGGATTCATAAATTATTTTTACCTTAATATCTGAAATTGATATTAGCATGGTCTCCAGATATTAATCCAGAGTTTTGGGTTTTCATGTCACTTGATAACATGGACACTTAAAGCTGCAGGATTATATAACATCCCCTCTGAAAATTGTCTGTCAAATACAGATATTTGCCCTGGCCAGTTTGGTTCAGCGGTTAGAGCGTCGGCCTGCGGTACAGAGAGACCTGGGTTCGGTTCCCGCTAAGGGCACGTACCTCGGTTGCAGTTTGTCCCCGGCCCTGGTTGGTCGTGCGGGTGGCAACCACTCGATGTGTCCCTTCACATCGATGTTTCTCTCTCTCTCTCTTCCTCTCTCTCCCTCCCGCTCTGTCTGAACAAAAAAATGCAAAAATGTCCTCGGGTGAGGATTTAAAAAAAAAAAAATACAGATATTTGATTAATGAATAAAAAATCTAATGTTCACAACTAACTGGCACTAATCACATATGACTTTCATGGAAACTGAGAAATATTTTCCAAGAACTTAACTGTGGAAAGACTGGAGGGTTTAGGGAGGCTACTTGTAAATAGTCCAGCTTAGAAGACTTTACTTAAGTGGGCTTCCTCAATCTAAAAGGGGGGAGGCTAGACATCATAACAGATGTGGTGGGCCTGTGCCAGTGTGGGCCACAGAACCCTAGAGTGGGCACCTCAGAGACACCTTATTCCCTTCTGATGGAGTACAATCCATTTGGGATAGATGCACATACAAATTATATTAAACTATACTTGACAGTGGAGTTGTCCACGACAAAGATTCCTAGGAGAGAGCTTAGGGACAGGCATGACCAACAATTTGCCCCAACTGGATCCAGAAACTTAGACATGGAAATGCTGTTTTAGAGGGTAGGGGATTCTTTGGGTTTAAGAGACATAGAAGGAGGAAAGAGCTTAGAAATGGGAAAGTAAAGTATCATTGCTCATGTAACAAGAGAAAGAAGGAAAGGTTGGAATATCTTCTGAAGTGGTCTTTAAATTCAACCTGAAGTTTAAAGGAGTCAGTTCTTGAAGTAAATTGAAGTCAGTAAATTGAAGACTCAGTGCTTTAAAAAAAAGTCTCTCTTGTTCCTCACTTGAATTTGAAATATAAAGAGTTCTTTTATAACTAAATGGACTGGTGATGAGTGCAACAGCGGGCCCTGCTTTTATAATGGCCCAACTCTTTAGGAGTAAGTGAATGTACCCGGATAGATATATTGACAGGTAACAGCATAATTCTTCCTGATAATGGAAAATTCAAGTAATAAAAGTTCTTTATTATATAAAAATTGCCCCTCTCCCTGTTTTGAACAGCCAGTCTAAGTGCAATAAAAATTCTTTTATTGTGGTAGCTTCTTTTCTAACTATTGTTCAATGTTGGTTTTTACCTACTCTTTTATCTGGTTAATTCATATTTATCTTTTAAAACAATACTGTATCATTTCTTCTACTTCTGTTACTTTCCTTCCTCCTGCTATTTTTGTCTTCCTAGCATCCATGTCCCTTCTTCTGGTAGCTGCGCTTTGATTTTCTTTTGGGGGCCTCCCTACCCCTGTCTTCATTCAAATGGTTCGAGTGGGGCTAACCACTGAGGTGGGCATGCTACTTAAGCTCAACTAAGCCTAATTGATGAGGGGTTAGGCATGTGACCCAATCTCTTCCAGTAGGAGTCAGTCCTGGGGCTTTTATGGTAACTTTTGAACAAAGAGGAGTCCTTGGCCTGTTGATGTTCCTAAGCTGATAGAAAGTGAGCATAGACTTCTGTCCATCTTTGGCATCTCCTGGAGATAACCTGCCTGAGAACAGAGCCAACCCCGAGGAGAGCAAGGAAGAGTGAGAAGGAGAGACCTACTGATATTATTTGAGCCTATTCTGAAGCCAGCATCAACCCTTAAAGAATCATAAGTTTTCTTTTTTGCTTAAGCTAAAAAGACACTTGCAACTTGCAAGTTTCTGACACTTGCAACTTAAAAGTACTGACTGATTTAGCATCTTTACCACTAGTTTCAAAAGATACTCCTGATTCCACCCTACATTTCCTCCAGAACCTTGCTGTTTCCTCTCGTATCTTCTCTCGCTTCCTTCTAATTGACTCCTCCTCCTCAGTATGGAGCAGCCTTCAATCTCTTCTCATCCTTAAAAAAAGCAAAAGCAAAAACAAGCAAACAGCCCTCTTTAGACCCTGTAAACGTTCTATTTATTTGCCCCTCTCCCCTCGAACTCTTAGTTCGGCTTCTTTGTGAAGGGACACTGGATAGTCCACTTGGGCTGCTGGACAGAATGCCATAGCCTGGGCAGCCTGTAAGCCACAGAAATCTGTTTCTCATGGCCCTGGAGGCTGGGAAGGCCACGGTCATGGTGCCAGCATGGCCATATTCTGGTGAGGGTCCTTTTCCTACTTCACAGCTGGCTCTTTCTTGCTGTGTCCTCACTTGGTGGAAGGAGAAGGAATCTCCGCGGGGTTTCTTTTATAAGAACCCTAATCCCATTATGAAGTGCCCACCCTGGTGACATAGGCAACTGCCAGAGGCCCTGCCTCCTGATAACATCATATTGGGCATTAGGATTTCAACATATGGATTTTCAGGTGAACACAAATATTCAGACCATAGCAAGCTCCCTACACTAATCATTTACTTTCTCACTTCTCATTCTCTCCTCAGTTCACTACCATTTGACCTACACTCCCATTTCCCCTTGGAACTGTTTTCTGTAAGGTCAGTAATGACTTGCTAATGGTCTAATATACAGGACACTTTTTAGTTCCGATCTTCCCTGCTCTCTCTGCTTCCCCAGAGTGCTCAATGGAGGTCACATATCTAAAAGGTCTGAGCCGGCGGGAGATCACATCCACAACCCACGGCCAATGTAGAGCAAAATGGCTTTATTGCATGTGCCTGGGTGCAGGCGGGCTGAGCCGAGAAGGGTTCAGCATTGACTAACAGTTGGGGTGTAGGTTGTACACTCTACTTTTAGCTTCCGGCAGTTCCTGCTGATGTTCTCTGCCCAGCTCATTGTCCACCTCGCAGTTGGACTGGTCTGGTATCTGGTCCTGCATCTGCTGGGTGATTCATTGTCTTGTGGGTAACCCAATAATCCTTATCAGTACTCAACAGAAGGCTGAGCACAGGTCATGCAAGCAACACAGTTTTTCACAGTTTCCACCTTTTGCAAGTTTTTACCCTTGCCCTTTAAAACATTACGAACCCTTTCAATATCTGGACTCCCAATGTAGTACATCCATGGAATTTATAATCAGTCCTAATAAGGCCAAAGTCAACATTTTTCTTTTTTCATGCTTTTTCTTTCTACCCCTCTTCTCCAGGATGACATAAAACCTATGCTATTGTCATTGGCAGGAACAATACTGTGTTCCAGACTGTACTTGTACTTCCTTTTGTGAATGTAATTTCGCCTGCTGATATAGGGGTGAAGATTATAAACTTTGTGAAAGAAGAGTTAGTGGTATGCTAATCTTGTGTGCTCTGTTGACCATTTGGACATTGTTAAATGTAGAGCATCTGAGACATGGATTTTACTAGTTCAACAGTGGATGTCCTAAGGAATTACACCCATTTCAGTAAGTGTTTAGATGGCAGTTACTGAAAGAATGCAGGTAGCTAAGAGAGACTCTAGTTTGAAATTAAGAAACGAATGGAGAGTAAAGAATTGTTTTGGGCTTTTAACTTAGAAGAGGATTAAATTTTTTTAAATTAAATTTATTGGGGTGACATTGGTTAATAAAATTATATGGGTTTCAAGTGTACAACTCTATAATATAGCATCTGTATATTGCATTGTTTACCACCCAGAGTCAAATCTTCTGCCATCATATGTTTGACTCCCTTTGTCCTTTACTACTCCCTCTTTTCTTCGGGTAACCACCATACTATTGTCTGTGTCTATGAGTGTTTGTCTTGTTCGTTTGAATTTTTTAAACCTTAATTTCTCACTGGGGTCCTAAACATCAGAGGTAGCTCAGAGTTCTGAGATCTGGGCATTACTACTTTTATGTTGCAGATTCCTAGACTCTAGTTCTAGTCCAGGCTGCTTTCCTGAGCTTCAGGCCATACATCCAGGGTCTGTGTCTGTCTTTCTGGATGTCCTGCAGTCAGCTCCAACATGGTCACTGCAATCTGCTTTTCCTCCTGTGCTCCACTCTTCCAGCCGCCAAGAAACGTGGGAACCATTCCAGGCTCCTCTTTTCCTCTAACATTTGTCTACTTCTTGGTAGGATTTCTAGTACATCAGTTAGAAATCCTCATGACTCTGGTCTCTGCCCTCAAATCGTTATTCATACTGAAGCCAAGAAATGTTTAAAATGTTCAAAACCGATTTTGTAACTCGTTTAAAATTTTCCCCTTGACCTCTGTACAAAGATAAGACTCCTTCGTGCAGTTTAACAGCCGTTTATCTCCCCAGTTCTTGACCTGCCCTCTTTCTCTGTTCCGGTCTTCTTGCATGTTGCCCCCCAGTACTCTCCTTTTCTTCCCTACCCCTGATATCACCTTTTATTTGGCTAATTTGTATGGGTTCTTCAGCACTCCATTTAGAGACCTCAAAATTTAGGAAAGCTCTCTCCCATGACCATCCTCCCCAAGGCTGAGTGGGTCTACTCGGGGTTAATGATGATCACAGCACTTACTTGATGATAATGAAACTTGCCAGCTCTTACCCACTCTAAGCTTCTTGAGGGCAGAGATTATTTTGTTCATCCTAGCATATCGGTGTTGTTATAAAGAATTTTTCCCAAATGTACAAAATAGTAGCCCCAAAACAAAGAAAAATACTTCTATCATTAGTGTGGGTTGCATTTTACAAGGCAGAGCAGGCCCAGAGAAAAATATAGGGATTTTAGCTGGGGCTATTAATACCAAGTCTTTTAATTAAAATAGAATTGGGAATATGTCGGAAGCTATTTCTTAATTCACCAAATGAATGTGTTCAAGTAGGTATTTGTGGAAGTATGTTTAGTTACACATGATTATGTATATTTGGTTTATAATTAACGAAAACCGTCCCTATCAACATAATTATAAAAATGCATACTATTCATTAGTTGCCAGGTATGCTAAGTATCTTGTTGGTTACTTTTTTAAATTTAAATTTCTTCTATTTAATATAAGTAAAACCATCAAAATTATACAGGAAAAAACAAAACCAAAAAATACCAAAGCTTTGGAAGGGTTTCTGGCACATGAGCTGAAAACTTTCTGGATATATTACGTGTATTCTTCATGCTTTCCATGTCTCCAGGACATAGTCATCTGAACACTGGATTCTTGGAATGCATTTAGCCTCCATTGTTATAATAAGGACATCACCAAAGTGATGAATGACATTTTACATTGGTGTAGTCTTTTTACCTCTGAAAGGATATCTACAAATACCTTACAGATCTATTTTATAAGAAAAGACAAGTAACAAAAATTAATTAATTAATTAAAAGACAATAAATCATTCTGAAAGAAAATAGAAAAATCTTTGTATTTCTTAGAATATGCCTTAACACAATTTGATTTTGATGAGTCTAAACTAAGATGATGTAGTTAATTAATTGACTAGCTTCAAGGGCCCATGAGTGCTTCCTCTAGGGATGGGGTAAATGGTTGCTAAAATTGAGGGGCTCGTGGTCAAAGCAGATATCAAGGGAGCAGGGATTCAGGAAAGTTGGGTTGTACTTCCTGAATTCCCAATTGCTGTCCTTGGAGCCATGGAAACCACATTTTTCCTTATAACCTCTGATAAACTTACTTCAGAAGGGAACATATGCTGTTATCTCCCCACAAGTCTCGTTCTCACCAAGCAAACTATTAGTATTCCTCACAGGGGAAAGGAGAGCAACCTCCATTCCTGGGGGCCACGTTAGACTCCAAACCAGTGTGCGATTTTACAGACTGAACCACACACAACAAAGGAGCTGTTCTGGGAAGAGGTCTACCTTGGGTGAAACAGTATTAATGGAAATATAACTGTATGCAATGAAAGTCCTTAGGTTCTTGCTTTTAGTTTTTATTTATTTATTTTTTTGTATATGCCCCTAGTGGGAACCGAACCTGGGAATCTCTGGTCCTTAGGCCGATGTTCCAACTGCTGAGCCAAACCGGCCAGGGGTTCTTGCTTTTAAGTTCAGCAGTTCAGCTCCCAACAGTTATCACTATAGAAGGGTTACCACTATTTTCTTTTCACATCATGTTTTTTCTGGTGGATTGGTAGTTGGACCTTGGATAAGTTGTGTGAAGGTGTGTATAAAGATATGACAGGATTTTAAGATAAACCAAACAAGCAACTCTAGTACATAGAAAATTTAATTTGAAATAATTTAAAATATTTCATCAAGAAGTTTCAATTTAGTGCTTTGGCACCAGATGCTTAAGAAAATGTTTGGGTCTGACCTCAGATTAATTCTGGTAAACAGATATAACCAACATTTATATGTGTATATGTGTGTATATATATATGTACACATATATGTGTACATGCATGTATACACATACACACATGTATACACATATTCAAGTTATATATGTATATATATTCAAGAGATACATATTTAAGAGCTATATATAGATTCAAGATATATAGGAATTCATCCTGTATACAGATTCAAGATATATATAAATCTACCCTCACTCAGAGGTTCTATTCTCTAATTTTACTCATGGCACATATTTTGGAAAAATTACTCCTCAAAGGGGCACATTAATCATATATGGAACAGATCTCTACTCTTCTACTTTTAACTGTTGTAGTCTTTTTTAAGGTTGTTAATCCAGGTATACAATGAATTTCACTTTGTTGAATCAGAGATGAATCTGCGCTGAAAGAAACCTGAGTATACACTAGGGTCTGTTTCCTGTCTTCAGGCAGACGGATGAACTAAAGCTACCGAGAGAGATGGACTGTTTGTTCTTTGCTTAAAAGGTTGTGTTTCTCATCTGGCCGGTGTGGCTCAGTGGTTGAGCCTTGACCCGTGCAGCAAGAGGTTGCTAGTTTGATTCCCCGTCAGGCACATGCCCAGGTTTCGGGCTCGATCCCTAGTAGGGGATGTGCAGGAGGTGGCCAATTGATATTTCTGTCTCACATCCATGTTTCTATCTCTCTCCCTTTCTCTCTCTCTAAAATCAATAAAAAAAATTATTTTTGTTTTAAAAAAAGTTGTATCTCTCAGCTACTGGGGTACAAACCACTATTGCATGAAGCAATTTTCTTAAGATAATATTTTCATTAGCTATAGATACAGTAAAGTAGCCATGCATAGTTCAATTTTTAGCTTGCTTCCAATCTGACTTTTTTCCTAGAAAAGCCTGGTAGCAGTAGCATGTAGGGCAGAAGAGGAAATGTGGTTCTCTGCGGGAGGGAGACGATTCAATCAGCTAAGCCTTCTCGGTAAAATGATTTGTAAAAGGTTCTTGGACGAGCACACCCAGACTGTGTTCTCTCTCACAGGTGCACAGATTACTTGGGAGTTTCCAAAGTCCCCAGTACTTTCACTTTTGTGTGACTTGAAAAAATATAATAATAATAATAACTAATGAAAATATTAAAAACTCCATGATTTACTAAATGTGCCAAGTTGTTACAAATATGTCCATTTAGATCCTAAATTTAGGTTTACATACTTAGAATGAAGCATCAAGACCATAGATTCAGCGGTTCTTAACTGTGGGTCGCAACCCCTTTGGGGGTCGAACGACCCTTTCACAGGGGTCGCCTAGGACATAATAGTAGCAAAATTATAGTTATGAAGTAGCAACAAAAATAACTTTATGGCTGGGGGGGGTCACCACAACGTGAGGAACTGTATTAAAGGGTCATGGCATCAGGAAGGTTGAGAACAACTACCATAGAAGAACATGCAATTTTTATTTTTATATTTTGATTTGCACTGGTCAAACCAATTTCTGCTGTGCGTGTGGAGATGTTTTTGTTTCCTTAGGTTGTGTCCCTTGGGCACACACAACCAGAAGATGCTTCGCTTTCTTTATGTTGGGTTGGCCAAGGATGCTCATGATAAAATATTTGACATAAAGGATTTTGTTTTATTTATTTTAAGTGGTGAAAACTATAGTTCTTAATCTATAAAGAAGGATTCTCTAGGTGAATAAATAAGAAAAATACAGAAAATTAGGAAAATATGTAAACTCAAGTTATGAGGTATTTTAAAGATACAGTGCCAGTGAAACTTCTCTTTCCACAATGTACAGGTCTCTTCCGCTAGTCTTCCTAGCCTTGCCTTTGGAGAAATACAGAAAAGCTAGAGGTAAAAGCCCTTTGGATGTGAGGCTCGTAGTAGTACAGAGCAGCGTCAGAAAAAGAAAGTAATAAAGCGGTATTTAAACATCTTTATATAATGACAAAAATATTTCCTTAAAAAGTCTTTAAAAGGCTTTTTTTTTTTAGTCCTTAAAACACTCGCTTTTATAGGACACATGATTGTCTGTGTGACCACTCTTTCCAGAGGGAAGTTTTTTTGTTTTTAAATACTAGGAAAAGATGACTTATTCAAATTAGATTTTCCATGCTATATTTAGTTTTACAGATGTATTTAGTTCTAAAACTGTGGTTTACTGTATTCTGGGGAGAGTTATGTATATAAAAAAATCCCAGGAACCCTTACAGTCTCCTCAGACAGTCAATTTTAACACTACACTGTGATGTCCATTCCCGTAGCTTATTGCTTCTGTTAACTAGAAATCCCTGAACTCTCTGTACCTAACTTTCTGCGGCTAGCCTCTGAGAAACCAATCCATTACCTTTTTTTTTTTTGAATAGCCAAGTTTTTAAAGTTTCTCAAAGTTATTTTTATATTTTTCTGAGAGTTAAATAGGTTATTTCTCTCACTGTATAACAAGAATCAGGAATTCCCAGCAAACCAATTTCATTCTGTATAATGCATATGCCGGAAGCACACAGATCACACACGAATGTGCTCTCAGGCAACGTACACAGGCATTCACTCGAGGGGTAAATCAGTAATGAGCCAAGCATACATACATGTGCAAATGTACAATCAACAGCAAATTATTTTAGATCCTAATGTCCTTTGAATCTTAAAAATGCACCAGGAAACAGCTCATGACATTTACATGAAAGCTCTAGAGAGCAATTTTCATGTAGAAGTAGCTTCATATCACATCTCGTGAATTTCGTATGGCACAGCAGAGGACCATGCTGAATATCATGCCGAAGATCTGAAACAGAAGAAAGCACTTATTAATGACTTTCAAATGACAAAAATTGATGGGAAGGTCAGCAAACTGCCTATGTGTCCGACTCAAGTTAACAATATAACCAACAATTACTAGTTATAAATGGCATTTTTATATATCTGCTTAATTATGACTACTGGTTAAAGTCTTCCGTATTAACTCTGCTTAAGATGCATTTGTATTTTATTATTGTTAAAAGAACAACAGGGCTCTGATTTAACAAAAGGGCCTAGTTCTAGCCTCTGGAGCAGTTTAACTGTAAAACACCAATAATACACTATTGGGTTGGGAGTTTTATATTTCAGGTTAATTTCAGAACTCATATATTTACTTTAAAAAGTGTATATAACAACTAGTTGTTTATTTATTTATTTTTATTTTTGCATTTATCTTCAGATAGAGCAGGAGGGAGAAAGGGAAGAAGAGAGAGAGAAACACATCGATGTGAGACACACTGACTAGTCGCGACCCATATGATTCCAACAGGAGCCGGGGACAAACCGCAACTGAGGCATGTGCCCTTAGTGGGAACCAAACCTGGGCCTCTCTGGTCCACAGGCCAACGCTCTAACCACTGAGCAACCGGCCAGGGCACAACTAGTTGTTTAAATATGCTTGTGGTTTAAGTAGTTTTCTATTGTTGGAAACGCTTCAAATTTTTTGCACCAGTGACTGCATATTAAAAAGTGCACCATCTTATTTCCTGTTCATTTTTAAGTATAAATGATGCTTCCCTATTTAACTTAGTAGTTTTACCAAAGCATAAATGAAGGTGTTTGAGCTATGATACTACTGATGTCTTCTATGTCTTGGATACTTCTCGGAGAAGCCTATTACTTGGCAACATCATAGCCACTTGTATGGTTTGAACAGAAGGGGCCACACAATCCTCCTGTTCTCAGTCATTCCCCTGCAGTTCCGCAGAGCGGAGGGAAAGCCCTGTGGGCACAGTGTTTATGAAGTACAGTCAGGGTTTGTTTAAAGAAGTCAGCATAGCTCTCTCGTTCTCTCTCAACCCCATCAGACTAGGATCTGTAAATGCTACGTTAAAGAAGACGTGTTGATCGGTTATTTCAGAAGGAAGGGGGTGGATTTAAGTAAGGGAATGGCCTCCAAACTTGGGCAGGGCTCCAAGCTTCTGCCTGACAGAACTTGGTACAAGTGTGTGGCAGGGGAGACACCTAATGGACATTTGGTTAACTGACTACACTGTGCAACTTAAAAAAAAATTTTTTAATCCTCACCCGAGGACTTTTGCATTTATCTTCAGATAGAGGGGGAGGGAAGGAGGAGAGAAGAGAGAGAGAGAAACATCGATGTGAGAGAGACCCATCAACTGGTTGCCACCCACATGACCCCAACCTGGGCCGGGGACAAACTGCAACCGAGGTACGTGCCCTAGCGGGAACCGAACCCAGGTCTCTCTGGTCCACAGGCCGATGCTCTAACCACTGAGCCAAACCGGCCAGGGCACAGTGTGCAACTCTTCATGAAGAAAAGAGTTAAAGGAGAAACTTTCAGGGTATTGATTCAAGATGGCCAACAGAGGGCATCCCCCCGGACCGTAGTTGTTGGGTTGGATGCGATCCCTAACGTTTATGGGTTGCACTCTAAAGAGATACCCCCAGAAAGAAACTTTACCAGCCTCCTCCTGACGCTGTCATGGGTCGGGTGACTGTTTCTAGGATGCTCATTCATGGAGACTGCTGAGTTGTGAGGAGGGGCTATCTGATGCCTCTATTATACAGAACATTTTCCACTATTCCGCCCCAGAGTGGCGGTCAGGCCAGCCCCAGAGCAGCCGGGGAGGTGTCCCTGGACTGGGCGGTCCTCAGCACAGTATATTCACCACTCCCCCACTCCCCGGGCTCTAGATGCAGAAAAGAGGACAGATGCTTCTGTGTCCCCTGAGAACTGCCAATTCATCGATTTCCTTGCAGTTCCCATTGCCCCTGTTTAGCTTAGGCCAGGAATGAATCTACATAGAAGGGTCGGAGGGTAAGCAGTATGTCAACATTAGCTGTTAGCACTCAACCCCTGGACAATGGAAATCAGCTCTTCACTGGCCCCACCTGATCCCCACTCTTGCTTCCCTTTGACTTTATCTTCATGCTGCACCACAAGTCCTTCTAATCATGGGTGGCTCCCCCTTTCTACCCAGCCTCTGATCAGGACACACAAAGACCTCAATGATGTGGCCCTCACACCCACTCCTTATCATCTCTCGCTTGCTGCTCCTACCATACCCTCTGTCCCTGTCAATTCGTGCACTTTGTCCTTCACCAGCGCCGAGCCGCCTGCAGGTCTGGAGGCACTCCACGCCCAAGTCACACACACTGTTCCCTTCGCCCGGACTCTGGGTTTGGGAAACAGACTGTAGGAAGATCCAGCACTTAGGAAGTGCTATGTTTCAGATACTGTATGAATTAATTTCTAATAATACTTTGTAAGTATTATCACACTCAATCGTCACAACAATCTTATGAGGTTGGTGCATTAAAATCCTCATTTTACAGGGACTTGAGGCATAGAGAAATTAAGAAACTTTCCCATAATCCTAGGGCTTGTAAGTAGTAAAACTAGGAGTTGAAACCAGACAGTGTGATCACACTATTAATCACCACACTGTGCTGACTCTGCAAATCACAGGTGAGAGGGGTTAACCTTATGTTATTTTAAATTCTAACAGTACAGCCCTGGGCAGTTTTGCTCAGTGGTTGGAGCGTCAGCCCCCGGACCTAAGGATCTCAGGTTTGATTCCCAGTCAAGGGCATGTACCTGGGTTGCAGGTTCCATCCCTAGCCCTGGTTGGGGTAGTGGGGGAGTCAACCAATGGATGTGTCTCTCTCACTTCGATGTTTCTCTCTCTCTCTCTCTCTCCCCCTCCCCCTCCTTCCCTCCCTTCTACTCTATCTAAAAATCAACCTTGGGTGAGGATTAACAAAAATAAAATTCCAACAGAAGGAAAGACCCAGAGTTGAAAAGCACTTGTCTAATTTAGGTTTGGTGGCTTTAAAATAGGAAGTTATTATAATAATAAACTCAAGGTCATCATTAGGTTATAGTATTTGCATCATATTTTAGAGAACTTAGTGTCAATGTATTTAATCAGCTTTGTTCTTAGATGTCCTGTCAACAAATGTCTTTGTTTTTTAGAAGACATCTCTCCTTAGACACTGCCATTCCATTTGAAGAGAAGTAAGATGCAAAGGTTCAGACTTCTTCTTTTTATCCTCACCCGAGGACATTTTTGCACTTATTTTCAGATAGAGCAGAAGGGAGAGAGGGAGGAAGAGAGAGAGAGAAACATCGATGCAAGAGAGACACATTGACTGGTTGTCACCCAAACGACCCCAACCGGGGCCGGGGACAAACCGCAACCAAGGTATGTGCCCTTAGCAGGAACCAAACCCAGGAGACTCTGGTCCACAGGCTGGTGCTCTAACCACTGAGAAAAACTGGCCATGGTAGGTTCAAGCTTCTTAGAGGACAAGAAGGTATGTTCTGAAACTCTCACCGTGAGGCCTGCAATTCCAATACCGACCATTCCGATGAGCTGAAGCTTAACACTGATTACGGTCTCAATTTCATCAATGCAATTCTGTTGTGGAAAAAAAGAGTCAGGAATAACAACTGATGGTACAGTAGTCCCCCCTTATCCATGGGGGATATATCCCAAGACCCCATTGGATGCCTGAAACCGCGGATAGTACCGAACCCTGTACATACACACCTTTGCACTTAGAAAAAGCACTTTACGACTTCTCTTTGGCATATTTGAATTCCCAGCATCACTACTCTTGTGATTTGGGGCCTTAAATGAGTAAAATAAGGGTGACTTGAACACAAGCACTGTGATGCCTATGACAGTCAGTCTGATAACAGAGGCTACTGAGTGACTAACGGGCGGGTAGCGTGTACAGCGTGAACACGCTGGACCAAGGGATGATTCACGTCCTGGGCAAGACAGAGGGGGACAGCTCAGGATTCATTATGCTGCTCAGAGCAGCACACAATTTTAAACATATAAATTGGGTTATTTCTGCAAGAGTCCATTTAATATTTTTGGACCACGGTTGCCCGCAGGTACTGAGATCTGTGGAGTGAAATCTCGGATCGAGGGGACTACTACTGCACGTGTGGATGACCGCCCTGCCCTTCTCTGCAGATCATGCTGGGAGAGTCATCCGTGTCAGCCTCTGCTTCTGTTAGGGCCATTCTCTTAGCTTCATTCTGACAAACCTAGAGAAAAGGTAGTTTGAGGAAAAAAATACAATTCTCTCCTTTTGCTGGAATTTTTCTATTTAGGCCAATGGCTACGTCAGAGTCTTGAAACCTGGTGGGAGGAAGCTATTCTGGGACCTGAAGGATTTAAAAATACTGGGAACTCTTCTTGCTTTCAGCAAATAAAAGTAAGCAAACTATCCCCCCCAAAATAGCCCCATGTTTTTCTTATTTTTAAAAATTTTTATTTATTTATTTTTTTGTTACAGATGTTTCTCCTTTTTTCCCCATTGACACCCTCCTCCCAATCCTGTCCCCTCCACCCCCCGACATTATTGTCTATGTCTATTGGTTACCCATACATGCATATAAGTTCTGTAGCCTATCTCTTCCCTCACCCCATCTCCTTCTGAGGTTTGTCAGTCTGTACCCTACTTCTATGTCTCTGGGTCTGTTTTGTTAATCAGCTTGTTTTGTTCTTTATATTCCACAAACAACTGAGATCATGTGATATTTGTCTTTCTCTGATTGGCTTATTTCGCTTAGGATAATACTCTCCAGGTCTCTCCACGTTGTCTCAAAGGATAAGAGATCTTTCTTTCTTACGGCTGCATAGTATTCCATTGTGTATATGTACCATGGCTTTTTAATCCACTCATCTATTGATGGACACTTGGGCTGTTTCCAGATCTTAGCAATTGTAAATAGTGCTGCTATGAAGATAAGGGTACATATATTCTTCCTGATTGGTTTCAGGCTTCTTAGGGTATATTCCTAGAAGTGGGATCACTGGGTCAAATGGCAGATCAATTTTTAATTTTTTAAGAAAATACCATATTGTTTTCCATAGTGGCTACACCAGTCTACATTCCCATCAGCATGTACTAGAGTCCCCTTTTCTCCACACCCTCGCCAGCACTTGTTTGATGATTTGTTGATGGCAGCCATTCTGGCAGGTATAAAATTTTAATTTGCATCTCTCTGATGATTAGTGACATTGAACATTTTTTCATCAGTCTCTTGGCCATTTGTATGTTTTTTTTTTTGGAGAGGTGTCTATTTAGGTCCTCTGCCCATTTTTTAATTGTTTTTTTCTGTCTTCCTTTTGTTGAGTTGTATGAGTACTCTATGTATTTTGGTAATTAACCCCTTGTCTGATGTATCATTCGCAATTATGCTCTCCCATACAGTGGGTTCCTTTTCTATTTTGATGGTTGTTTCTTTTGCTGTGCAGAAGCTTTTTAGTAAGAAAAATACAGGTCAATACTCCTGATGAACACAGATGCCAAAATCCTTAACAAAATATTAGCAAATTGAATCCAGCAATACATCAAAAAGATTATTCACCATGACCAAGTGGGATTCATCCCAGGGATGCAAGGCTGATACAATATTTGCAAATCAATAAATGTGATACACCAAATAAACAAAATGAAAGATAAAACCATATGATCATGTCAATAGATGCTGAAAAAGCATTCAACAGAATCCAGCACCCATTTCTTATAAAAACACTCAGCAATGTGGGAATAGAGGAATTATATCTTGAAATAATAAAGGCCATATATGAAAAACCGACAGCCAACATCATACTCAATGGGCAAAAACCTAAAAGCGTTTCCCTTAAGAACAGGAACAAGACAGGGATGCCCACTTTCGCCACTCTTATTTAACTTAGTACTAGAAGTCTTAACCACAACAATTAGACATGAAGAAAACATAAAAGAAATCCAAATGGGAAAGGAGGAAGTGAAATTGTCATTATTTGCAGATGACATGATATTGTACATAGAAAACCCTAAATACTCCATCAAAAATCTACTGGATTTAATAAATGAATTTGGCAAAGTAGCAGGATAAAAATCAACATCAAGAAATCGACGGCATTCTTATACACCAATGATGAACTCACAGAAAGAGAAACTAAAAAAGCAATCCCATTTACCATTGTGGCAAAAAAATTAAGATACCTAGGAATAAACTTAACCAAAGAAGTAAAGGACCTATTCACGGAAAACTACAGGTCATTGAAAAAAAAAAATAGAAGAGGAAGATATAAAAAAGTGGAAGCACATACCTTGTTCATGGATTGGAAGAATTAACATCATTAAAATGTCCATATTACCCAAAGCAATCTATAGATTCAATGCAATCCCCATCAAAATACCAACGACATATTTCACAAAACTAGAGCAAATACTCCAAAAGTTTATATGGAACCAAAAAGATCCTGAATAGCCACAGCAATATTGAAAAAGAAGATCAAAATAGGAGGGATCACAATACCAGATATCAGGTTATACTACAAAGCCATAGTAGTCAGAACAGTCTGGTACTGTCACAAGAACAGGCATTTAGACCAATGGAACAGAATAGAGAACCTAGAAATTGACTCAAGTCATTATGCTCGATTAATATTTGACAAAGGTAGCAAGAGCCTTTGTCAAATGGTGTTGGGAAAATTGGACAGCTACATGCAAAAAAATGAAGATAGACCATCAACTTACACCATACACAAGAATAAACTCAAAATGGATAAAAGACTTAAATGTGATTTGTGAATCCATAAAAATTCTAGAAGAAAATGTAGGCAACAAAATTTCAGACATTATACGCAGCAGAATTTTCACTGATGCAACGCCTAAAGCAAGAGAGACAAAGGAAAAAATGAGCCCCTTGTTTTTGTATTTTCATTTATTGTTTAAAGGACTTTCTATATACTTGATCCAATTTACTATACAACGTAGGCATTACCTAGTAAAAAGCTAGAAAGTCTATACGGGTTCAAGTTAAAGGAAAGCCAAATATTGGGAGCTAAAGGGCCATTCTTTTCTCTGGTACCTGGGCTTGGTGGGTCACTAGCCTTTCATATGTGTCCCATAGAGACATGGCAGGGCAGGTTCAAAGACCCCTCATGGATGAGGGAAAACTGAACAGGGAGCAGAATAGATCACTTATAATTGAAATTACTTTCTCCAGCTTCTATTTGAAGTCCCCTTATACAGAGAGGTTGGCTTTTAATCCAATCTTGTGTCTAGTCTGTCCAACTTATCACTTTGATACCCACAAAAGCTATATGAAACCCTTACCACTATCTTATCACACTTCATTCATTCATCATTCACATGTGTCCTATCATACCTCATTCATTCATCATTCACATGTGTCCTATCATACCTCATTCATTCATCATTCACATGTGTCCTATCATACCTCATTCATTCATCATTCACATGTGTCCTATCATACCTCATTCATTCATCATTGCCTCGTCTGTCTCCTCACTGGTGTCTGCCTACTCCTCCTAGTTTCCTTATTTGGCAGCTCTTCGTGGGCCCATTCTTACACGTTGTTGTTTCCAGAGTTCTGTCCTTGTTTTTTTCTCCAAACCTAATGCAGCAGATACAGTCTACAGCTTTAAGTCCCCAAACCTCTCTCCTGAGCTGCAAACCAGGTTTTCCAATGGCTTGCTGGGTGTTTCCACTTGGAAGTCCCACTGGCTCCTCCAAATCTCTGGGTGAAATACTAAACTCACTTTTTCTTTTCCCTCCAAAATTTGCTTCTTCTTCTCTATTCCTCATCTCATTCGATTATACCATCATCGCTGCAGATGGTGAAGCCAGAGCCCAGCAGGAGATCTGTCTTCTCTCAGGTCTAACTGGTCACCCGGTCCCACAGATTTCACTTTCTAACAGGCTTTTTCTCTCCATTCCTGCTCCTCTGTCCAGCTTGTTACCAGTTAGCATCTCCCGCCTTCCCAGCTGGTGTCCTCGGCTCCAGGTTGTTCATCTCCCATCAGTTCTCCATATGCTACTGCAGCAAACTCCTGGAAACGCCAAGGCCATCCCGGAGCCCACCTTCCGGTTTCCTAAGCAGACAGCGTGAAGTCCGGACTCTGGCTTCAACGAGGAGTCGAGGCTCTTCCAGAACAGGTCCCTCTTCTTCTAAGGACTCATCTCTGCAGGCACTGGGACTTCCAGCCCTCCGCGCTGCCTGCACCTTCCTGGGTGCAACTACCTTCTCTTGCCTCCATGCTTTTGCCCCGTGTCCTTTACCTGGAACACTCATTCTCTTGTTTACTGAACTATTCACCCTTCAAAGTTCATCGTGAGCGTCGGGCCAGGGGAGCCTCCCGTGCGCCCCCAGGTCCCTGCCCCCGGCTGAGTCTCACGTGCTGTCTGTGGGGTGATGCTCCCTGCACGTCTCCTCAGCCACCGGGGCACTTGAGGGCAGCGGGTGTGTCTTCTTCACTTCATCCGACTCGGAAGGACGCAGTCAGTGTTTGGTGGACGATTCACAACACACGCTGGGACGGAAATCTCATCCCGCCCTTCACGGCTGAAAGCCTCAGGCATCACCGTCGTGGTTCCCACATCCTCACATTCCCTCGTTCCCACACTACCTGCGTTTTCCCTCCGCTGTCCTGCACGTGCGGCCAACGCCATCAGCGATCTTCAAGCACCAAATCCACCCGCTTACTTCCAGCCTTCCTCTTCTTGTCCTCTTCCCAGCATTTGACTTTGTGGACAAGCCAGCTCCTCCCTCGTGTCCCAGGCGCGATTGTCGCTGGGCTCTCCCTGACTGCGACTCCTCCTTCAGTCTCGCTCCGGCTCCTTGTCCTCAGCTTACCCCTTGATCGACACTGTCTCACCCACTCTTTCCTTATTCCACACTCTCTCCCTGGGTCCCTGTCCATGCCCACGGCTTTAGCCACCACCAATGTGCTGGGGTTCCTCTACCTGTCTTCAGTGCAGATTACTGGCAAGTCCCCCAGCACCTGGAGTGCAAGCTTGACCAAGGCTGAAGCTGTCACCTGCACCCAGGACCTGCTCCTTTCCCTACACTCGCCTCACTCAGTGGTGGAGGCCCGCCCTCCCCTGCCCCCCCGCCCCCCCCCCCTCCAGCAGCCTGAGGTCTGGCCTTCGGCCCTCCCTCCCGCGCAGGCCCGATTCATTGCCCAGGCCTGTGGTTCGCCCCCGAACATCTCTCAGTCTGTTGCTCCCTCTCCTTCCCACTGTTGTGACTTGCTCTAAGCCCTCATCCCCTCTTACCAGGGTGACCACAGGTGTCACCTAAGTGGCCTCCGTTAATCTCGAACCTTCTACTCTACCAGGCACACCCAGCAGCCTAAGTACTCTTTCTTCAATACACAACTGATGTTAATCCTCTGCGTGTCCCAAGCTTCCAGGTGTGAAATCATGCTGTTGCCCGCTTCTCCAAAAATGTTCCTCACCATCCCCGCTGGACTCCTGTTCTGCAGTCCTGGAGTGTCATACTGCCGCGCCTCTCCCCTGCTGCTCGCTGGGCCTAGAGTGACCTTCCTGTCAAAACTCAGCTCAAGGAGCCCATCCTCTGGGCCGCTGTCCTAACCCCACCCTGCACCGCACTCCACGCAGAGATCAGGACAGCGCCATCGCTCCCGACCGGTCTGCGAGGCCACTGAGGAAGGGACCATGTGTTTTTCAGAGTTCTCAGAAGCTGGCACAATGCCCGACACACAGCACTTAATAGTCGCATGTGTCAGCGCTGTGCCTGCTGTGGAGTGGCGTGGCCAGCATTCCTGGGTGGCACCCCTGGTCCCGGTGAGCTTCATTAATGCCACAGCATCTTCATTGTGCCGCAGGGTCCCGGGACACTGGCACTCACACTGATTCCCTTATCTCACAAAGAATAAAGCGAAGGCCCAGAGGCACTGGGAGAGGGCCTCCCAGAATGACAGGCTCCATCCAGAAGGCAAAACCCAGCTTACACTACAGGCAGGAGAGGACCCTGCGGGACAAGCTTACCTTGTGTCCTGGAAGCTCCTTTGGGCACGTGGGCTGGACTTGTTCAGAACTTTCTTTTCCACAGCACTGAAACTAGAGAGTCAGAAAAGAGTTTTTAGGACACGGGAGAGAGAAGCTGCAGCTGCAAGTCTGGGAGCCACTGCTAAGGACCGGGTGTCGCGGTAGCAAAGCAGCTACAAGGCCCAGTCCTGCCACCCAGACCGCCATTTCTGGAAAGAGAGCAGAGTCACATAATTGTGCAGGCAGAACAAGAAAATGCCTTCTCCGAAGCTGTCTGCGCTCTCTGATGGGAAGTGACTCAAGGCAACCCAAACAAGGCAAGAAGTTAATTTCAGTGTCTGTGTAAACTGCTGCTTTTTAGACAGGAATTGGGCCTTTAGATTGTTTTCTTTCAGCCTGGGAGTAATTTAACCTGCTGAGTAGCTCAAGTTTTATGAGTTTCGGTAAGGGCTCGTTAACTGGGGACAGTCTGGGATGGAGTGGAGGAATGGCCACAGTCAACTCCAGGGTTAAAAGATCAGGGCTTGGAGACGGGCCAGCAAACAGGTGTCCTGCCTGCGGGCTGGTCCTTCAAAGACAAAGGAACCTGTGTGCAGCTTGATCTCCTTGGGGTGGCCGAGGCTGCACAGGATAAATGGTTGGCACCTTCCAGGACATCCCCGTGACAGACAAGAACTGGGCTACCTGAGAACACCTGGCCCAGAGGCTCACACTTGCTTCTCTGTGTCACAGTGGTTAAGAGGTCAACACGACTCTGTGAGCCTTCCTTGATCAGCTGCATACAGCTCTGAGCTGTGCACCGATGGCAGGACTTCCCAGAAGAAAAGGAGCCGCTGACCCAGGCGCCCCTTTATTTCACGAATAAGCGAGCCCAGCATCCAGGGTCAGAGAACTTACTCGAGGTTACAAAACTGTCCAGAGGCCCAGCTGCAGCTAAGAATGAGCTTTTCTGACTTGAAGGTCATGGTTGTCTGTGTTACTCCACAACGCCACCCTTGGAGAGAAGCTGATGTGTATTTGGGCTGCTTCCTGGGCGTTCTTGTTTGTGCTCTTTTGTCTCTTTGGGGCACCTGTCCTGACTTCCTCGTGTGAACCCTGTGTGTTGGGCCTCTGCCTCTTCCAGGTTCCATGTACTGTGTGAGCTTGGCTCCCACGGGGGCAGACCCGCTGTGCTGCGGCTGGGCCTCGCTGGATTTATTTATTTATGTGTTTGTTTTCAAAATTGACCAAAAAGAACATTTTATTTCTTCCTTAGTGTTTTGAAAAGTAGGCTTATACAATTATAGAACCCTCTATATAAAAGCCAAATAAAAATTACAACTCTGGAAAACATAAAACAATATAGTTTTGTATTATTATATTTGTTAGTCTTTGTGAATTAAAGCTGTTGCTTAAATATCATGGCAAATAATTAATAAATATGCAAATAATATATATAATGATATGAATCCCTGAACATCTCTTTAGGGTGGGAAAATAGCATGAACAAAATTTAGTAAGAAACTCTTGAATAGGAAAATTCCTTTTTTTTTTTTGTTTAGTCCTCACCTGAGGATACTTTTTCCAGTGATTAAAAAAATTTTTTTTTCTTTATTGATTTTAGAGAGAAAAGAAGAGGGGGGGGGAGAGAGAGAGAGAGAGAGAAACATTGATGAGAGAGAAAATCAACTGGCCGCCTCCTTCATGCCTCCCACTGGGGATTTGGCCCACAATCTGGGCATGCGCCCCTACTGGGAACTGAACTCGCAACCTCTTGGTGCATGGGTCAATGCTCAACCACTGAGCCACACTGGCCGGGCTCCAGTGATTTTTTAGAGACAGTGTAAGGGAAGGGAGAGTAGGAGAGTAAGAGAGAGAGAAACATTAATGTGAGAGAGACATATCAATCAGTTGCCTCCTGCACACATCTGGACCGGGGTCAGGAATCAAACCTGAAACCCAGGTATGTGCCCTTGACTGGGAATCAAACTGGTAACCGATCCTTCTAGCCACTGAACTATGCAGCCCAGGGCATGATACAGGAAAATTCTTTACAGGTGTTTTTCAATAGTAAACTTACTATATTAGTAGATGTGTATATATATGCACATAGAAATACATGTACACATATGTATATATACACATATATACACTATAACATATACTTTATAAAAGTTATGCAATATCACATGCATTTTATTTTTAATCCAGGTGATCAGAGGTCTTCTTTAGAAGATGCGATTTGAAGGAAAAAGTAAAGTTACTCACTGTTGAGTGGAAGGTGATGAGAGTCCCATTTCCCATTCCCTTGTCTTTAAGGTAATCATTATAAGCCTCTTCATACAAGGTCTGGACATGTCGTATAGCCTGAAAAATGCCAGGAATACCGAGAGGACAGTGAGCAGGAAGTTTCACGAGTCCTCCTATCATCAAAAAAAAAAAACCCCTCTTCCTTACCCTTCAAAAATACAGCCTTTCCTTATGTTTATCCATATTTTAAAATAGTTCTGCATATATGCAACAGATCATTGGTTCTAAGAAACTTCTGAAGCTGGAACGATAGACTAACCATGAATAATTCTGTAGACTAGAAAGACTTCTTAGAGTGGTGGTTCTGGAACCTGAATGGACATCAGCATCAGCTGGACCCCAGGCTTCTGGGAGACCCAGGTGACTGATGCCCAGCTGGAGTCGGGACCTCTGCTGCGTGGTACCCCTGGTTACAAGTTCTCAGGTCTTTTCATAACATAGTATCAAAGGTTCATGACCAGGGAAAACTGTTTCAGCATTCAAATATCACACGAAGTGTGGAGAATTATTTTTCTAGTATAAAGGCATGAGACCCCAAATCCATAGAAATCTCAAACAATTATAAGAACAATTCGTCTAACCTACAAATATAATCAGCCACTTTAGGAAAATTCCAAATGAGGTGATATTTACATATTCTACATGGTTGCCATTTTAAAAAATCTAAAATAATTTCATGAACACAATATTGACAGCACGTGAATGTATGTGAAATACAGTAAACTTAAGATTCTATTCTTCTGCCTGTTCCTTTTCACCCTCCTTTCTCACAGTGTGCTTTAACCTCCAAAAGACCATTTCCTCTGTGGGTTCTCCTGATGGTCTAGTCTGGGCACCTACAGTTTGAGCACAAATATATATAAACTGGCTTTACCAGCTCACAGAGGTGACGGCTTTAGCCTTCGAGGGTGACAGGGCCTCTGTCTTTGCCAAGCCCTAAGGACAAATGATGATCTCAGGTATGAGAATTTGTGTTCTTCCACAACCTTCTTTCTTATGTCTATAATCTGACCTCTGTTCTATTTCAAACAAGATAATCTTACTAGAGATCCTTTAAAAAGAAACACAGACCGCCCGGCCGGTGTGGCTCAGTGGTTGAGCATTGACACATGCACCAAGAGGTCGCCAGTTTGATTCCCGGTCGGGGCACATGCCCAGGTTGTGGGCCTGACCCCAGTGTGGGGCATGCAGGAGGCGGCCATTCAATGTTCTCTCTCATCAATGTTTCTATCTCTCTCTCTCTCCCTTCTTCTCTCTCTAAAGTCAATTAAAATGAAAAAATAAATAAATAAAAAGAAACACAGACCCTTTATATATCTAATGAAAGCTAGGCACTACCCCCTGAAAAGTGTAAGCTCGTATGTGCACACTCACATGCTCAGTTCCATACACCGCTTCTAGGCCAAAGAGTTCTACGTGAACAATCTTTGTGGGGGTCATTTGGATTTGTAATATCACTGTGGGTATCAATATCCTCATATCCTTTGCCATAATGAGAACATTTTAACCATTCTAAAAAGAAATTGTAAGTCATTTTTACTTACCACACCCTTGCCTATGAAAGCAAACACTCCAGTGGTTACTTCAGCAGCAAATATCACTAGTAGGCAAGTGAAAAACTGCAGAGAAGATACTAACATCATTAATTCAATACCTTTTCAATTTATTTAGCCTCTTTGATTCTGGTTCCACTTGAAAGCCATTAGGCAAAGTTGTAACTTTGAATTGATCTAGCAGGAAGGATTTGTCCCTCAGTTCCCTTAGTTTGTTCATTCATTCACTCATTAATTCATTGAGTAATTGTTTATTGAACATTTACTCTGTGCCAGGTACTGTTCTTAGTGCTGGGTGTACAGTGATGAATAAGATAAGATCCCCATGCCTCATAGGAGAAGATATGATAAATAAAGCAATAAAAAAGTTGAGTAAGATAATTTCAGATAGTGATATAGAAATCCCACCATCTCGAACAGTGCCTGGCACCTGTGTTCAGTGAACATTTGATGAATAAAAGAGGCTCTATAAAAATATAAAATAAGGGCAGGTAGTGGAGAGTGACTGTTGGGACCTGGCTTTGGGAGAGTGGGACCCGAGACTGTGCAGTCTGGAAGCGTCTCTGAGGAGGCGGCAATGCAGGTGAAGGTGTCCTGGACAGACTTCTGCTCTGGTCTGCTCTGATCTAACTAAGCTCAATGATAAACAAATCCGAGAGACGTTCAGCAGGGGAAAGAGGATGGAGGGCGAGGAAATGAGTTACAGTCATCCCTCGTTCATCGCGGTTAATCGGTTCCAGACTCTAGCGGTTGCACCTGGCGTTGAAGGATTCCTGGGGTGCTCGAATACTTAGGCCTACAGTCCATACGTGCAGTGATTTTAATTGCAATTGTAATGCAGGGGTGTATAATTGACTCAGACAACTGAGCGCGCGCTGTATCATTTTCACTGTCTCCATCCACTTTTTAATGAATATATTTGAAAAAAACACAAAAGAGTGAAGCGGCAAAGTCGAAGCGGGCAGCGGCGAGGACGACAGTGGATGTTTTACAGTGAAACCCAAAGGCCGCACTGAGCAGGGCCAGGCTGCCCAGCAGGCCTGCTGTCTCTGCCTCCTGTGGGGAGATCAAAACGTCCTCTCGTCCTGCCCTCCTCCCTTCTCCTCTTAGGTCACACTGGCCCTGGGTGTACAGCAGGTAACAGAAAGACCCCCCCCCCCCCTTTTAAAGAGGCTGCTTGTTAAAACGAGCCTCCAGAGGGAGGGCGGCGGATGCTGCTGAACAGCGGTGCCTTTCCCGCAGACGACCGCGCCCGGGCTGTAGGAACTTCCACCCGCTCATATATATTTTAAAGAACAATTACTTTTGGCCCTGTCAATTATTAGGCACTTTTCCTCCAAAGCATCTTCATACTAAGACCTCATCCCCGCGGACTTTCCATATGAGGCAGGGACAAAGATAACACTGTCCTTATGCAGGGGACGAGGAACGAGACTCCCGCAGAGGGGTGACTGCCCAGGTCCCAGTGGGTCGGAAAGAGCTGGCGCTGGAGCCAGGCGTGGGGCTCCCTTCGGGCCAGCCTCCTTCTCCTCTCGCCCCTGGCGCCACTTACGGATCCGAGCACACACTGCGACTCCCGCATGGCTCCGCAGCACCCGAAGAAGCCCACAGCCATCATCAGGGCGCCGGCTCCGACCAGCACGTACAGCCCTGCGGGGAAGAGGGCGGAGGGGACGCTGAGCCCCGGCGGCCCTGCCACCGCGCTCCCCGTGTCCCCGTGTCCGCAGGGCAGGACCCCGGACTGTTAGTAATATAATGGGCACCTGCGGAAGGCTTGCTGCGCCCTCACTCACCCGAGTTAACCGCGCAAGGCTCCTGGGGGTGGGCTCCGGTTATTCCCAGCGCGTAAAGACAGCCGCGCAGAGGTGAGGGGCCCGCTCAGGCACAGGCCCAGCAAGGACTGGACACTGGCTCTGTCCCATCCCCATGGCGCCTGCTCTTAACCATCCCACAGTCCTCCTAGATGCCAGGCACTTCACCTTTCAGGTCCCCACCACCCCTGGAAAGGGGGTATTGCTACCATTGGTGTGAAATTGATGACACAGAGTCAGGAGCCAGGGTCACCAGAGCTGGGACACCACCCAAACCTCCCTAGGCCCCTTGCCTCCCACGCAGTCTGGAATTAATGGCTGTCTCCATCCCGTGAGAGGCCCCAGGACACAGTGTCTGGGAGGGAAGGGGGCTGATGGTCTGCCCAGGCGCAGATGAGGAAGCAGGGACAGGATGGGACAAAAGAGGGGGCTTTTGGGTAAGGGGAGTGGGGGGGACACGGCAATGAGATTTTGTATGAATTATAAACTTTGGAGGGCAACACCATATACACTGGACTAGTGGAAGGTCGTGTTACAAGAATAGCCATAGAGCCATGGCCAATTTGACTCAGTGGTTAGAGTGTGGCCTGTGGTCCAGAGAGACCGGGGTTCGGTTCCCGCTCAGGGCATGAACCTCGAATGCAATTTGTCCCATGAACCTCGAATGCAATTTGTCCCTGGCCCTGGTTGGGGTTGTGTGGGTGGCAGCCACTTGATGTGTATCTCTCACATCAATGTTTCTCTCTCTCTTCTTCCCTCTCTCCCTCCGGCTCTATCTGAAGATAAATGCAAAAATGTCCTCAGGTGAGGATAAAAAATAAATAAATAAGAAAAGAAAAGAATAGCCACAGAGGGGAGGCGAGAAGGTAATATCACCAAACAATGCTATTATTAACATAACACTAGCTACCTATGAAGGGCTCATTTTCTCCAGGCACTGTTCTGAGCACTTAGCAGGTGTATTCATTTAATCTTCACAAAGCAGATACACCATTATTATCTCCATTTTTTAGACAGAGGAACTGGTCTCCAAAAGGTTAAGCAATTTGCCCAAGATCATCGAGCTGGGATAAAAATATCCATCTCGTGGCCGACTTCCTAGCCTGCCTCTCCAGCATAATAGCAGCCTTAACGCGGGTGGGAGTTTCACTGACTACCAGAGTCAGGCCACAGGAACAGTTGTTCTCCCAGAGAAAGAAAAGGGCAGAGATGTTCTTGTTCTGAGAGAAATGAAGCCAAGTCTTTTCTTATTTCCTCCTCTGATCCTGCGATAAGTTAGAACACAATACAAGGCTGGGCACTTGACTTGCTTAAAAAAAATGCCGTTCACCTCTTCATTATTTTTTGCATTTTATTCATATGAGTCACCTGGAAACCACTCCCATTCACAGAAAGGGTGGGGAGCTGGGTGTCACCTCTGGGGAAACCCTCAGCCTGGCCTGCAGGGCACCTCTGGAGGCCCCTTGGGTGCTAACAGTGGTTTGTGGGCAGATCTGCACCCTGACATAGAGGGAACAGCAGGTCAAGATGCTCTGCTTCCTGCTGGCCCTGGGTGGGGGCGGGGGTACTTCTGGGCGGGGGAAGCCCTGTGTTCTGCAGCCCTAAGGCAGGCGGTGGTTATTGCTGGCTCTGCCACGCCCCTCCCTCCTCCTTCCCTGTAAGAGAGCCATTGCAGGGGGAATGGGTGTGGTAATGAGAGAAATGATTTCATATTTAAACAATACTATTGCTGGTCCCACTGCCTAAACACCTTACTGTCTTTAAAATTTTAGTTTCCAGGGCTCTTTCATTTCTATCATGTCATTGGCTCCTCAAAACAACCCCACAGGTAAGGCAAGTGTTACATTTCTATTTTACTAATGAGGGTCAGGAAAGCAGGATGGCTCCAGGCAGGACACACAGGCCTGGAGCCTGTCCCCGCCCCACCCGAACAGGCTGCAGGGCAGCCACAACACCGCCTTAGTCAGTTTCCTCACAGAACGGGCTCATGGGTGGGCCACTTTATTGTACCAATTTCCTGCTTACAAGTTGGTTGCCTCCCCACAACTACAAGACAGTCTATAGATTCTGCTCCGGGACACAGCTTAGGGGCCGGGCCCCTGGATCTTACCCATCCTGCACTCCAGCCACAGGGCAATTCACCAGGATATAAGCTAGCCTGCTCTTGTCCATTTTGTGCATTTGCAGGTTCTCATATATATCTTTCTCTGTAGATGTTAAGTCCACAGAGAAACCTTATTCATCTGACCTAGAATATGCCCAGCACATGGCAAAATTCTCAGTCAGTGTTGTTGGATGTGAGGACTGAGAGAGAGCAAGTCAGATCTGTTCTGGACTGGCTGCCTGCCATCGCTTATGGTGGTTTAGAGACACACTGGAAAAACCCAGCAGATGTCCAAGAAGCCCCACAGGGCTGGGTTCTCCCAAGGTCACAAAGGTGAGGTCAGGGCTGCACACACTGAGTCTAAAATATAGAAAAGAGGGGTGTTCCTGAGGAGGCTGGGGTGCAATAGACAGAGGCACCAGGGCCTGAGGACAGAGCTGCTCCCCAATGGGAACAAGCCTGCTCAGTCCCTCAGGAACTGTACTTGCTTTCTGAAATAATGAGCTTGCCAAGAAAATGTGCTTATTTGTACAACAGGCCACTCTTAGGCTATCAGAATCCCAGAATTCACAGCAAATGCCTCAAACTGCCCTAGAAGCTCCAGTCCCTGAGGCCTCTGTCTAGCCAAGCCCTGTGTGTATCTGGGCACATCACTCAGCCCAATGCCAGTGGGCCCTGCCGTCAGAGCTGAGGGGAAAACCAGAAGAAACTCAACAAGTGGCGAAACCCCTCGGGCCTGCTGAACCCAGGTCCAGGTCTAGTTGTAATGCTCGGCACACCACGGGGCTTCCAAGGCTCCTCATCCTTGTCTGATCTGGCCCCCCAAATACAAGTCGAATGAATACATTAATTGAGTCACATTTCAATTCCCAGACAGCTTCTGTAGAGCCCTCTTCTCCCGCAGCAGCCTGTGTGACAAGTGTCTGACCTACTTCCCAATTCCCCATGCTTCCCGAGTCCTATTTCCCTTGACTTGAAAAAAGAGAAACAACTTTGAAGTTGCACTTCTATCACAGCTGGGCCTTGAGATGCCAATAATCCCAGGTGACATGCCACCAGATAGTCCCTGACCACTCCCTCTCGTTTCTTAGGTTTCAGATTCTTCTTTTCAGTTAACAGGGGAAGGAGCCACAGCGACCTCCTCAAAGCCTTGTCTGCATCGGCTCGGTTTTAAATGGCTCTCCCTGCCCTGGCCGGTTTGGCTCCCCGGTTAGAGCACTGGCCCTCGGACCAATGAGTCGCAGGTTGAAGCCAAGGGCACATACCTCCGTTGGGATTCGTCCCCAGCTCTGGTTGGGGTCGTGCAGGAAGCAGCCACTTGATGTGTCCCTTTCACATGAATGTTTCTCTCTCTCTCTCCCTTCCACTGTATCTGAACAAAAATGGAAAAATGTCCTTGGGTGAAGATAAATAAATAAATAAATAAATAAATAAATGGCTCCCTCATTTTAGGGACTGGATAGTGGTGTGGCACAGTCATCAATTTCAGTGGCTTTGTGGCAGCAGATGGTTTTCCCCAGCTAATGACTATTTTTCATCTAAAAATATTTTTCTATGGCTCTGCCACTCTCCAGCCGCCCTCCCAGCTTGCCCTGGACGCACACAATGCTACGGGTCTAGAATACTGGCTAGGACTTAGTTTATGGGGCAGGGAAGGTCTTGGTTCTCCTAAGTGACAACTGCAATCGGTGACTGAGCACTGCTCTAACGTGTCAGTCACGGGGTCATTCAACACGAAGCGGAGCCACGCCGCTGGCCGCTGGCGTCTGGACAGGAGCCGCCCAGGAGACAGGCAGGGGTTTCAGCCTTTTGCTCCTTCCGACTACCTGGCAGCCGAACCCTCCCTTCGTCCTTGCTCTGTTCCCTCCTGGTCCTCGGGCTGGCTCTCTCTCAGCCGGCCCTTGTTACAGGAGTAACCACGGCAAATAGGTATTCAGGGCTGGTGACCCCACTGCCCTGCTTGAGCACGGTCCTATGTCAGCCACCTCCTGGCCGCTCTGTGAGGTACTAGAGGAATTGACAGCCGAGGCACCTGAGCCGCAGAGAACTTAAGTCATTTCCCGTAGACTGCACAGCCAGCGAGGGGCAAGCTGGACCTGGGCCAGGGGTCTACTCCCAGGGGCACACCCGAGCTCCTTTCGGTAGGAACTCGGAACAGTGACTCTCAGCTCCAAATCTGTGCGTTTTGCAGTTTATAAATGGCAGGTTTCTTTTTCTTCTTCCCTGAGAAAAGTCCTTGGGGCGGGGCAGGGTGGTCTGCCCTCGATGATTCGTGAGTTTTCTTGTAAACGTACAGAGCTGGGAGCCACAAATGCAGCCTTTAGGTGAATCCTCTCTTCCTCAGTTTTTCCGAAATATGGCTGTAATGATCTACTCTAACTTCTCATAAAAATGCTTTGGAGAAACTGTCTCAACAATGTAAGCTACAGCCTGTCTCTGTTATGCAGCTACCATGACTCTCGGGTACAACCCAGAAGTAAAAAAATAACCAGAGTGAGTCAGTGTTTAAAACGGCAAGCCAGCCCGTCTGCATTCAGCACTGGACTGCGTTCCTCACACCAACACCCAGCCACAGTCCAGGCCAGGCCGGCCACTGGATCAGCAGAGGAGCTGGGCGCTGGGGTCCTGGAGCAGCCAGTGGCCGATTGTGTGGGCACCCCTCCCCGGAGCAAGCCGGCTCGGCCTCTGCTCAGACATGACTCCACGCGCTGGAGCGCAGTCTCTCCAGCCCTCGA